AAAAAAAAAAAAAAAAAAAAAAAAAAAAAAAAATATACCGTCGAATTGAATACCTCCTTCTTTTGGGAAGTCGGTCAAAAAGGCCAACGAAGAAGGAAGCGTAATTTGCTTTGTAACTACTTTAATGCTGGTGGTATAAATAATTAAAAGGATATGAATAACTAGTTACTGGTTGGTACCAGCGCCCTAGGTGAGATTTCTACAGCGGTCATCTTTTTTTACCATGCCTTTACTGAAGTTGCAAGAGCTACGTGAAAGACCTGTGGCGCCCCTTTTAGCCCTGCGCCCTGGGCGGTGGTCCAATCATACCCTAACTTAACACCGGTACTAGAGTAATTAATAATAGAGAATAACGAACCGATGAAACGAGGAAAATATAAATGAAAATTTATTACATACTAATGTGTTTGTGCAAATTGTTATTGAAATGTTTATCTTTATGACTTTTCTCTGTTTACGTGACTTGTTAGTTAGTGATGTATTTTGTAATCCGTATTATATTTTACACAAAAGTAATATCAAAATCTCTGAGCTACGGTACTGAAATTGAAAGCGAGTATAAAAACAAAGGGGCGTGAGAGGGTAGAAGCGGTTCACCATCCACCGGGGTGTCAAGCCACAAAGTAAGGTAAAACAACGAACTTGACTGGTTTACTTACGAGTCGTATTGTCGATTCCCAAATATTGGAAAGGTGAGAAATGCCGTTGTAGAAAAAACAGTTTAAAATCTAATCTTTAAATAAGATTTCATCTTATGTCACTAGATGGAGTGATTCCATGCCATGATTTAAACCGCAACCATACGAAAAAATTATTACCAATTTACACACAGCGACATCTGTTATATCTGTTCAATTATAGATTATTACATAATTACAAAATAGGTACGAATGTAGAAAAAAATTGTTAAATTATTGTTGTTTGAATACATTAGCAGTAGTTTAGGAACAATCACATATTTAAAAATTTTTACAAAAAAAGGAAAATAATGAAGTATTGTAAAAAAAAAACAAAAATTCGAGGATCTTGGTCTGTATTTATCAAAAAATATTCTTAAGAAAATTAAAATATCACAGTTTTTGTAATACTTCATCGATTTTTAAGCTTTTGTTTTTCAACTTATTCCGAAACGCCATTATGTTTAAAGCTTGAGTTATCTGTAAAAACCGAAGCCGGGTAAAATGACGTTTCGGCACTTTTTTAGTCTATTTCTAGTGGTATGGTGGTCGATTAACAATATTTTTTATATCGAGTTCTAAACAATTTTAGCGGGAAGTTGACAATAACTAAATATTGTTAAAAATGAGTGTCGAAGAGGATGTAATGAAAATTCAAAAGAAATTAACTAAAATGACTTCAGAGGACGGAACTGTAAGTGTGAATATAGATAATTTCAAACCTAAAAACTTTGACCGATTTTTGTCTAGACTGTATGATTAAGATATATCTCCTTAAGTTAGAACGAAGTATCCCTACTGTTACAATTGTAAACCAAATATACATTTATCTAAATATCACGATAAAGTTCAGAATGCATTATCTTTTATTGATTACATACTTACCATTTTGTGAATTTCTTTTTTGTTTTAGGGACAAGAAGATGCTCTTGAATTATTAAAAAATCTCCAAACGATGGCGATAAATTTGGATGTTTTAACGAAAACAAGAATAGGAATGACTGTAAATGCTTTAAGAAAATCAAGTAAAGATGAAGAAGTGATTTCATTGTGTAAAACATTGATTAAAAATTGGAAAAAGTTCCTTTCAACTCCCAACACACCTTCTAAAGACTCGGGCAGTTCATCAAAGCCTAAAAAAGATTCCAGTAAGGATAAAGAAAAAAAAGAGGACAGAGAAAAAGACAGAAAACTGCCAGCTTCATTTCCCCCTCAGTCAAATACCACTGATGCAGTAAGACTAAAATGTCGAGAACTATTAACTCAGGCATTGAAGATAGATGGAGAAACTTCAAACTCTTGCGGATCACCAGAAGAGTTGGCAGAAGAGCTAGAAGAGTGCATTTATACTGAATTTAAAAATACCGATATGAGATATAAAAATAGGGTCCGTTCTAGGGTAGCAAATTTGAAGGATCCTAAAAATCCAACGCTACGCACCAATTTTCTAAATGGTGTCATATCAGCTTCACGGTTAGCTAAGATGACTCCTGAAGAAATGGCAAGCGATGAAATGAAGAATTTACGTGAGAAGTTCATCAAGGAAGCAATTGATGATGCTCAATTGGCAACTGTACAGGGTACTAAAACAGAAATGCTCAAATGTGGCAAATGCAAAAAGAAGAATTGTACTTATAACCAGCTGCAAACGAGAAGCTCAGATGAGCCTATGACAACCTTTGTCCTTTGCAATGAGTGCGGCAACCGTTGGAAATTCTGTTAAAACTTAGGTTATTTAAATAAGTAGTATCCAAATATTTTAACAATGGAATACTGTACTTGTAATACATACATGTAACTATGGAATCTGTATTTTGGTTTTGTCACTGTGAATTGACTTGGCTTTATCACTGACTGGAATCACATTCAGTAGTCAATGACTTTTTAGTTAATTTTTAATAAATTAATCTGCTTAAAATATATATTTTTTATTTTATACATGTTTTATATAATTAGATAGGGTATATGTAGATATACTTTTTAATAAAACTTAAATTTCAGATCATAATTATGTATTCATCTATTATTTCACTTATTTACAATAACAGGAATGAGTCCTTTAGGACAGGAATAAACATAGATATATGTATATTATAAACACATAATTTTTACCAAATTCTTACAAACCATGGTTTTACAATAAAATTTAAGTTTCTGGACATATAGTTTAGGTATAAATCTCATATTTTCATACTCAAAATATCAAAATTGTTTATTTGCATTAAATTCTTTATCAGGATTATTGTCTGCATTTTGATGAGACAAATTCAACATTCCAGGTGCTTTAGACAATATTGTCCACATAACCTCAATTACATCTTCAAACTGTTTATATAAAAAGTTCTAGGACAGAAATAAAATTATAGTATTTACTATAATTTTATTTTATCCACTGTTAAATTTGGTGTTTCAGACTAAATGATAAACTATTATATCACCACAGAACAATCTATCAATAATTACATATTAACAATAAGAACATATAAATACATATCACAAAGCTACAAACATTTCTAATTGTTAAAAAAAAATCAATACTAAAATCTCAAAGGTCGTTAACATCTTACAAATACATGAATATAGGTATTGATGTACATGTAATTTGTAGTCACTGAGACTTATAGACTGACAAGTTGTCTGACCCAGTAGGTATAAGTGAAATTAAATTATGACACTTTTAACATATTTTCTGACAGAACTGATAGTAGCGCCTCTCACCGGGCCAGACATCCTTGTATGACTATACACAGTTGACAGCAGGCACATTGGCTATGTCGTAAATTGATCAATGATAAAGTTTTCAATGTCATATCCAGAATTTCTATTATCTAATATGGCAAGCTACACTTTGGTGAATATCAACAAGTTTTTTTTGGCTCACAAGAATCTATTTTGTCCCGCACAATATTCGTCTTACACCTAACTTGTATCCTAAATGCTGCACTTTCTTTAAACTAATTTCATCCTACCAATAATTCACCTGTTTTAATTTTTACAAATACCTTTTCATCATTACATATATCTACTTTTCTTTGTATATCTAATTTGAGATCAATGACACTTTCTTCATCATCTAATTTTGTTATTGTAAACCTTACATCTTCATTGGCGACATAACATTCGGCCGTGAGATTTTTCTGATAGTTGAAATGAGTTTTCAAATGGTCCCGTAAGAAATGTGATTGCACGACAGCCAAGTCACAAAATGAACATTTATGGTTGCCATTACTAAAGTTGTCATTTTTATCATGCCTTCTGAAATGGTTACCCAGAGCATCCTGACGCTGGTTTGTATATGGACATAAGAAACATGGATGTAATTTTCGATCCTTGGTCGGCGTCGCATCCGTTTTGTTTGTATCATTTACAGAATTATTTAAAGCACATCTACGTTGTAATAGCCTAAGTGTTTGTTGATCACTTATGGAAAATTGTTGGAAATCGCTTTTTGGCACACCTTTTGGCATAGTTTTGATCGCCAATTTAATGTTATCTGTGCTATCATCTTTTTTGTTTCCTGAAGGCTCCTCTGATTCAAGGAATCCATCGCTACCTTTTCTTCTTTCAGCCACAGCTTCATCGTTCTTTTGATGTTTTCTCATATGTTGAACATAATTAGCGTAATACTTTACAGAGTAGTCGCAGAGTTCACACTTGTATCGCTGCTTAGAGCCGTGTAATGATAAATGAATTTTATACTGTTCTCTCTTCTCAAACGCGGATGGACATTTATGGCACTTGTATCGCTTCTCTTTTTGTCGTCCATTTTTTAGATATGTCGGATATATGAACTCTGGATTACCATGCATCAGATATCCAAATTGAGGGTCTGCTTGAAGTACAGGTGGAAAATGGTCATTAGGTTTGACGAGTTTATCTTTATCATTTAAAACTCTTTTTTGAGCCTCAGTCTTTCTTTGAAATAGGTCAGTACCTGACAGTGGGATATTTTTGTAGTCCATATCTTCGCCGGATTCATAATCACAGGTAGACTTAGCGTCTGTTTCATGTAACAACTCGTGTTTGGCTAAATTGCCAATATTCTTGACGGCGTAGCTGCACTTTTTACATTTATTTTCTCCGTCGCCACCATGTAAACTCATATGATAGTTCAGCGCCGAAGTTTTAAAGAACTTTGCAGGACATTCTTTGCATAGATACTGTTTTGGAACATGTTTTCCTTCGTGGGACTTCTTAGGCGAAATGTCCATGTCATCATAATTTTTACTGGGAAGGTTGACCACCCAGTTTATTTCGGAGGTCGCAGCGCAGTGTATTAGCTCCAGCCGAGGTTCAGGGTGCGCCGGGTCCGTATTATGAATGAACTTAAGCATTTTGGTTTTGGTGTGATATTCATCGGAGTGAACAAAAACATGCGCAGCTAATTCAATGTCGTGAAGTGTAGAAAATTCACAACTCCTGCATTTGTGTGGAAATGAGAGATCGTGGAATTTGTCGTGAACTTTTAATTCAGTGTCTGTGAAGAATCGCGATGGACATTTTTGACAAAAATGTAAAGTTTTTATTACCTTGTTTTCGGGAGTCAAACATTCCTCTTTGACGAATTCATCGGCTGCATTCATTTTTTCTTCTTCGATTACTTTACGCAGTTTCGCTATCTGGTCTTCATCAGGGACATCTGTGTCGACGGGACAATAAATGCGGCCATATATTTCGCCGTGAGTCTTGGAGTGATCAGCTAATCTTCCGGAACTATCACAAGTAAATTTACAATCTAAACATTTGTACACCAATACTTCATTGTGTGTGTTTGCGACGCAATGGATTTTTTCATGATTCGGTATTTTACATTTTTGAGTATTAACGTAGGAGCAATATCGACATTTATACATTTTGTGGAATTCATTCTTCGCAGAGACCCAAACGTACGGAATTTCATCGAGATTGGGGTCAGATTTACTTTCAGTCTTATAAGAAATCGAAGTGGAAGCTTCAAGATCTGTTTCGAATTCAGTTTTTTTCGATATGATACCGTGAACCCTCATATGTTGGTGGAGAAGGTGTCGTTTGGAAACGCTGTAGTTGCATTCGGGACATTTGTATGGAGTGTCTGCGGGCAGTCGGTGGAATTGCTCGTGATACATGTACTGAGATTTGCTGTTGGTCTCGTACGGACACTCTGTGCATTTGTGGCGCTTAGTCGACAATGTATGTGTACTTTGAGGTTCATTCATCGGTGATTTGCAACCCATAGCCTTCGCGATGTAATCTTCGGGGTCAGTGATGCCGTGGAGAACTAAATGTTGCACCAGTTCTTGTTCGTCCTTCACAAAGAATGGACAGAAATAGCACTTGAATATCGACTGCGGCGAGGGCTGGTGTTGTTGCATGTGTATGATCAACGACGTCTTATCGTTACATTTAAAAGGACACTTGGTACAGGAATCCGGCACGGACTCGTTTGACAAGGCCGACCCTTCCACTTTCGGCTTCACTGTAGTAACAACTTTTATAACCCCATCATGTTTAAGTCTGCAGTGCCTCTGCAAAAATTAAAAAGGCATCTGTCAATTTATGTGTTTTTCTAATAATATTTTAAAATGAAATGATAATTCCAGAATTATTTACATGTAAATTTTAATACATATTACTATTCATACATTGCGTAACCAGGAACAGACATCTTGTTAATTGATAACACCTCTTACCAATTATTTGTAAAGTAAATAAGGTGATTTAATTCATACCTGAATAACATGTTTCCAATTAGACAGCTGATTGCAATGACCGCAGCGGTACGCCAAGTCGGCGGGGTCAGTTGTATTGTCGGGCTTCTTGGTCGCTCCGCTAGCGTTCTGCTGAGATTTTGCGTCGTCTAAACCATACGAAGTCGCCTTCGAATGTTCCCGAACATGTTCCAAAAGGGCTTCTTTCGATGAGTCTCTGAAAATGTTAATTACGATTTCAATACAGATTTCTCATAGAAAAGAAACATAACACATAGCAAAGATGTTAACTAGCTCACCTGTAATTGCATTTTTTACATTTCCATAAAGTTTTTTTAGGCCTCTTCGTGTCTTCACTCCTATTGTCCAAGCTGTATTTGTAGTCGCCATGTTGAGTTTGTAAATCAAGTGGCTGCATATCTGTTGACGTGTTAGTAAGTTCGTTTGCATCGTTGTAACTTTCGTCGACGTCTAAAGACGCATCGACATTTGTATTCTGTTCAATATAATGAAATTCATTCTCTCCATTTTCATTAAGTATGGGCATTGCCAAAAATTTATTGTATTTACTGTAATTCCTTCTTCCTGTCTCATCTGTCATTAACACTTTTGCATCTGTGTGGTTAGGATCCCTGGCAGACCTCAATTTGATATGTTTTGTTATATCCCATCTCCAATTAGACTTGTATTTGCACTGAGAACATTCGAACGGCTTCTTATTTAAATGTCCTACAATATGTACGTGAAACCGGGACGCTGTCGAAGCCCAAAACATACAGTGTGGGCATTTGAATACCTTTTTTCCCACAGCTTGACTCGGAGACAGATTCATACCTTCATTTTCATCAACGTTTTCAGAGTCAAAACTTTGAGGCGGTTCTGGAAGTGTAGAATCATCATTGATGCTAATATCGAGCGGTGTGTCGAATTTATTGGTCTCCGTATTGATATTATTCCACACAAACACAACATTCTCCATAGGATGAGGTTCTACTTCTTTCTCTGAATTCGAGCACACAGCTTCACTGCTGTCTTGTGTTTGTGTTGGAATTTCTTTTGTTTCTTCTTCATTTTTCTTGCAAGTTTTCATGTGTACGTAAAGATCTGCACTAGATTTGCACCTGTGTCTGCAATTTTGACATCTCGTTGAACTTAAACTCGCCATCAAAGTATTGGCGGGTGCTCTGCTAGTTTGAGTCGAGCATGTTTTTTCATGCACCGAATGTTCCGATAAACATTTGCTTTCGAATCCGCAGTTCTTACATCTTAGCGATCCTTCTTCTCCTGTCTCTGTCAGCAATCTTTCTTTTAATTTATCGAAGAACGATTCATGTTTCTTTCGCGTTGTTGTTTCTTTAACTGGAACACTGGTAACGACCGGTGTAAACGTAACATCGGGCGGTAGACAGTCTAATCTATTTGAGTTACTGGAATCTGGTGAATCACTTGATAGTGACTCTTTGAATTTCTTCACCGGAGGTTCACCTGATGATGTTTTATTTTGATTTGGGGTTGATGAATTGAGAGGTATAAGCTGTGGAATTGGTCTGGGTATCTTTCGGCTCTGTTTACGTGATTTTGAATCATCTAAAGTTGATTCTTGATGTCGGCCGGTGCGTGTATGACTTGAACCATTCTTTGAAGATGTTTCAGAAGCATCATTCGAGTCACTATTGCAACTGACCAGTTCCCTTTCTGCGTACTGTAATCCCATTTCCTGTAAAATAGAAAGAAAATATTATTAGCAACAATTATCATTGACGTCGATATAAGATAGTAATGCATGTATGGATGAATGGATTTTATACGTTTAAAATTGATCGCTTTTTTCAGGAATTAGCGCTTGATGATATTTTAAAATATTTTTTAACATGAGCGTTACCTGGGAATCGAACCCAAAATGCTTCAAACTTACATCGCTAAACCTTGAATTTACTTTTTATTGCTGTCGTTATTTAGATTACTCAATTAACATCTTTAATATATTCATAATAATCGAAAGATAATAAGCTGAACAGAGCTTTTAACGGAGCTAATTTAATGTATTATGTAGGAATATTCACGGTAAGAATTGTTTAAATTAGAATACAAGGCGTTGATATCAAGAATTTGGGTAGGAAACTCGGGTTCAACCTAGGGTTCATTATGTCAAAAAACTATATTTACGACTCGCATTTTTTACAGACTCCCAAAAAAAAGGTTCTTAATTCATCTGTATGTTTTTAATATAAAAAACGTATCTAATTGTAAAAGCAATTTTTGGATACAATTATCCTATTCATAAACACTAATTGCACATCACGTCTATTGAAAAAGTACCTATTTTCTTTTCATGAAATAACTAATTACGTTGAATGAATAAAAGTGCCAACACCATGAAATGTTAGAGGCATGAAGATGTTTTGTATTAACATATGGATAAGTTAAAATTGTGATTTATCTATTCTCCAATCCTAGGCAGTACGAAATTCATTCATAAAAAAGATAAACAATGAACAAAATTACTATGCTACAGGTGTTCTGTTTTATGAGTGTTCAAAATAACATTAAGTATGAATATTTCTTACTTTATTAAGTAGGAATCGAATCTTAGACCAACCGCACGAAAGTAAAACATTGTGCTACTCAACGAGACTAACGTTATGTTACGTTAAGTAAGGGAAATGTAGCAATATCTACGTTATAAAGTTAGTTAAAATGCTAAAGTTATTATTGAATAATACCTATAGTTACAAAATGTCGCTAACATAGTTGACAACTTGTTGAATTGTTTACTAGCTGACTAGAAGACTTTTAGAACTTTAAAACAACTTACGCATTACTAGTTAAGAAAATGTTAATTACTAATTGGTGGAAAACTATTCTACCGATCTCTTACAAAAAAAAAGAAAATAACATTATCCTTAAGTTAAAACATATGCTACACAAGCGAAATCGGTACTTATTGCATTGACTTTTTGCTAGTTGGAAAAGGGACTTAATGTAAACACGGCATAGGCCGCACACAGTAGACTGCGGCGTGACGTCACCGGGTGCGGCCCGCCGGTTGCCGGCTGCCGGGTGCCGGGTGCCGGGCGGCCGGGTACCGGGACGCAGTGTGCGGCGACACTCACCGAGGCCGAGTGCGAGGATCGTGAGTCGCCGCTCCCTTCCTCCTCCTTGGGGACGCGCGCGCTCCCGCTCGCCGCCTCCTCGGCGAGGCAAAGGTCGCTGGCGCCCACTCGGTTGCGACGCCGGTTCGACGTCAACTGCCCCACGGGCGGCGTGTGGTGATTCATCTCGTGCACTGTCAGACTCTGCCTGATGTCGGCAGTAAAGTTGCAAATCGAGCAGCAAAAGCTGCCCGTGCCGCCGTGGTTTTTCATATGACGATCTAAATTCCATTTGTACGGCGTCCGAAAGTCACATATGGTACACTTTATCATCGGCATCGAATGGTACTTGACGTGCTTCGTGTATCGCGCTCTAATATGCGTCACGTAATTGCATTTGTCGCACGAAAAAAAGTTTCCTTTTATTTTAGCGTCGGAGGTTCCGTTGACGAGCATTGCTGCTTCACCGTCGACCTCCAATCGCTCGATGAGGTCGTCGCCGCAATCATCGACGTCCATGTCCTCATCGCACTCCTCTACTTCTTCCAGCATGTCTTCCTCTTTCTCCGATGACTCAGTGGCCGTAGCCGCGGTCGTCGACGGGGCCGGGGGTTCCATCTCCGCGTGTCTGTCGGAGGCGCTCTCGCCGTGGACCATTTTAATGTGTCGCAGTAGTTTTTGGTGATGTCGGGAGGCGTAAACACAAAAGGCACAATCGTAAATCTTTAACTTCACGAAGTGAACGTCACGCGTGTGGATAAGATAAGCTCGTGGGTTTTGTGTATAAAACATGCACTTGGTGCAACTGTAGTTCCTTTTTATCTTGCACTGCGGTAGTTCCAAGTCCTCAGCGGTGTCCGAGGAGCCGTCGGAGGACGCGTCGCCACACTGGCGGCCTTCGAAGGGGCGCAAGATAGTCGCGACCTCGCCGACGTGCGCGCCCGGCGACGAGGACATCTGTTGAAGCATACTCCGCTGCAACAAACAATGCTCGGTGTCGGTTAAACGTGCCGAGACGAGGTGGGAGGCGCGAGGGGCGCACAAGGGGGCCGCGGCGTGGGTCGCGGGGTGCCGGGTGCGGGGCGCGGGTCGCGGGGCGGGCGCGGCGACGGCGCTGCGGCGTGTGGTGCGCGAGAGCGTCGGCGGCTGAATGCGGCGCGGCGCGCGGCGGCCGTCGCACCGGCTCACGGGCTGGCGCTGCCGCGGCGCGTGGGCGCGGGACGGGAGCGGAGGGTCCGATGTCATGTGTTCCTATGTTTTTCATCCTCGTCGCCGCGGTTAGGGGAGCCGACAGCCGGCGGCCGACCTCCACTCGGCTACGGCCAAACGAGACCACTCCTCTGTGCTGCTCGAATATTATTTTGTTGCATAACCGCATACGACAGGCCCTAGCTCTGTTTTAACTTTGTAGTTTTTTCATTCTCATCCATATGGTAAACACACGAGATATAATTACATTAGCTTGTAGGGATTATAAGATTCATAAAATAACAAACTGGTGACATTACCAAATAGCATAACAAGTAGGTAGCGTAAGAAATGTTAGTTTAGCGTTGATGTCTTTTGTGATGTATATTTGAATGCGAAAAAGTGGGCACCCGTTTTTATGATGTTAAGATGAATCATGCAAAATTACTATTAAAAAACAACAACTCTTAAGAAATTAAGTTACGTTCTAGTTGCAGAATATATCAATCGCTATAAGCTCCCTGGGGTGATAAGTGCGTACTCCTTATCCTACTGCGCCTCAATGTCCTAATTTACTCGAACCTAAGACCGCCTCAAGATCAACTGAGTACGTCGTAGATATAGCAGCGATATTCATATAGTGTAGTCGATACTGACTGACGTTCGACTGCCTATAGTCGTTGAAATAGGTGAGACGGAACAATCCACTCAGACAATCTCGGCGCGTGAAGGCCTGACCCCTATGGAGCGTTCCCATGTAGCAATACCCGTAGAGGTTATGTAAACATAATTCTATCGCTGTTGTTATTACATTCATCCTATCCTAGGCATCCAATTACTAAGCAACCTTATCTACTTAGCTATGTATTCGTTTTACATACCTACAAAACAAATGCGTTCGAAAAATAAACCTAAGTTTAACAAAACATAATTACTGTCAATTTATTAAGCTTATTTAATAGTTTGTCAATTGTTACATTTTAATGTATAATAAAAAAACACCAACATTTCCCACATTAAAAAAAAACATCTAAGGATTGAAAAGATAGTAATCGATAATGTAATTATTAGAACGTCTAATATATAAGTTAAAAACAAGTAAACATCTAGGAATCAAACTGGGAGCCACAGTTTTAATAACAAAGCATTGCGGTTGCTGAGTCATGCGGGTTATTTAGAGACAATGAAATGAAGTCTTCAAGGTGTCTGATTTGAAATATATATTTTAACATTCTTGTGTTTTATGCTAATATTTATATAATTTAGAAAAAAAATTAGATTAGATTTAATCATAAAATGTCAAAGCTAAAAGCTCAATAATTTAATTAACACATTTTACTTAGTAATGTTATAATTTTATACAGTCTCTAAACAACTTATCGTGGCCTATTGCTGCTTATAATGTGTAAAATCCCTAATTTGACAATATAATTAGTACTCCACGTGTCAGAAAACTTCTTAGGTTATCGCTCAAGAGCGCTCTAAAGTACAAGTATGTTAGTAATTGTATTCGGCTAGTGCATTTAGAAAGTATTATTAATGTACCTTCTTAATAAATAAATAATTCAAGATGAATAGCTCATTTTTAATTACGATTACAATTACGTTCGATATTGTAGAGTTAAAAGAATGTTAAATTATGTTAATGTTAAAATATATAAAAGAAACGCGGTTTTAGCTATGTATATATTTTTAAATTGTAAGATTTTACCAGTAAATATATTAATTACATAACGAAAATCATTAATTACATCTTTAAGGTCAAAACTTTCAATATTCAATAGTTTTTTTCAGTACATCACAACTTTTTTCCTTTTATATGCCTAATTAGAAATTATATTATAGAATTGCACAAGACTACAGTCCGGAATGACGCAAGCACAGGCGGAGGTTTTTAATTACCTTTTTTTATTCTTTCCCGAGAGTTGCAGGTTTATGTGATGTTATGCATCTTCAACAACTACCGCGTGGTAATTTAATGCAATTGACTTTGGCAGATGATGGTAACAATTAACATTTGAATTAATTTACATGCATTTAGAGATTTAACTCCCAATAATATAAATACAAATATTTTTTAAAAATACCTAACCAACATATACATCTCGTGTTTGCGAACGAAGCCTCATACGACCGACAGATGAGGTGCCTCGCCAGTCTCTCGCTATATTTTTACAGATATACTGAGTGCAGAGTAACTAACGTTGAGCGTTGACCCACATGTACGCCGCGGCCGCGGCCGGGTAGCAAGTAATGCTATAAACATAGCGTTGGTACCAACTAAATACCTACTGTCGGCCAAAGCGGCCTTTCTTATCCTTTAACCTTTAAAACATTTACCGAGTGAAAAAAATCCCTAGTTATGTTTATGATGATACCATAGAAGTTTACTTTTAAAACATAAATTTCTCTATTTGCTTTTATTATTTCTCACCAGATTACTATTGCTTTTTTCTTATTTTCTAAACAAAAAGTATACATTAAATAAACGCGAATTAAATAAGTTATCAAATTGTGACGAATAACATTTAAAATTATTGGCAAATGTACTAATACAATTATGTGACAATTCCTCAGTACATCTCCATACATATAGTACATTTTATTTGCACTATCCAACAAATTCTAGTTGGACAGCAAATGGAAAGCGACGCGAGAAGCAGCGGCGCGCCGTCGGGGCCAGCTGTCGGACGTCCTGCGGGGCCCGGAGGGCAGTGAGCGGGGCTTGGCACAGGGCGCGGG